TGCTATGTGTTTTGATCTATATTTTATGTCATCTGAGAAAATAGAAATGTAACAATGAAGGCAGCAGTCACATTGCCTCTTATACAGCAATGAAACAAAAATCCAGCATACTAATTAAAACTGGCAAAAACTGTGGGTCAAGGGAAATCCTCCAAAAAACAGCCCATTGGATGGAAAGAAAGGTCCTGCAGGAATTGCTCAGTGTGAACACCAAGTGGCATCCTGGGAATTCAATTTCCCTCTCTGGCACAGCAAGGCCACATAATGTGCTTTGCATGAACTTACCTTTCACTGCAATTCATACCAGCATCAGCCCTAGGATAAATCCTGGCCTAGTCACTCCATGGAAACATTTGCTTTGAAAGTTAGCACTGTGAATTCACTCCAGCAATTGGAACTTGGTTTTGCAACCTGTGCTGGATAACTTTCACCCATATTTATTGTCCCATCTCTTTTTTATTTTCTGCCCACCCATCTCCTGCTTCAGACAGCACCAGGGAGAGTAGAAAAATAAAAATTAGGATATCTCCTCAGTGCCTTTAGGTGGTCTAAGAGCAGGAGATGGCATTGCAGGCAATGGATGGGTGTCCCTCCTTTGCCAGGTCGGCAGCAGGCAGAGCTCAGTCCTGCAGAGGTACAGGGGTGGAGTCAGGAATCAAACTGCCTGCCCACTGATCTGGATATTGGGAAAAAAGCAACTGGTTCCTCACGAGGGAAGAAGACATATCACATCCAGTTTTACATCCTTTTTCAGAAACTGAGCTGTATTTTTTTTGTTGGAAATTTAGGCACCCATTATATTCCATCTTTTTCAGCTTATTATTTCTTTTTTAGGCAGTTTCTCATCAAAGAGTGTCCTCTGTGTCTGTTATTGTTTTCTTTTCTTCCTCTAATGGAAAGCTGCTCTGAACTCTCAGCCAAGATGGGGATAATAAATACCTCCAAATGATCATTCTTTTCTTAGGTGCAGGTGGGAGCTCAGTGTACCAGCACACAGTGTCTGCTAATAATTTTATGCTGTGCGTACTGTATTCACATTAATAAAAAAGGTGGGATAATAATCTTCAGTGCAGTTTGTGGGATCAGTCTTAAAACTTGGAAAAATAAATGTATTTGCAAAACTCATAGTACTAGTTTGATTATTCTGTTAAATCAGAGCTGCTAACCTTGTGCTGTGCCTGTACACTTGGACCCTGGATTACCACTAGGAATATAAGAAGAACTGGGAAACTTCAAATCCTTAAAGTTAGCTACAAGGCTGGTTTTAGAAAACTGACCCTCTCTAATCGTACTTGAGCACTACACATGAACTCTACATTGACTTAAAGAATAATGCAAGACCCAGGAATACTGGTTCAATACTGGTTTATTATTGCCATAACACATAGTTGGAAATAGCCTATCACTCCATACAAATAGATGGTTTGTAGCATTTTATTATGGTACCTGGGTTTTAGCTGGGATAGAATCAAATTCTTCTCAGTAGCTGTCACAGTGCTGTGGTTTGGATTTGGAACAAGAATGGTGTTGATGGCACACTGATGTTTTGGTTTTTTGCTAACGTGTGTTTATTCTGAGTCAAGGATTTTTTTTTTTTGTGTGTGTGTGTGTGTCATGTTCTGCCAGTGAGGAGATGTGCAAAAGAAACTGGGAGGGGGCATAGCTGGGACAGGTGACCTGAGCTGATCAAAGGGATATTCCATTCCATGGAAAGCCATGCCCAGTATATAAACTGGGAGGAGTTGGCAGATCTGGGCTCAGGAAGGGGTGTCTGGCATTGATCAGTGGGTGGTGAGAGATTGAATTGTGCATCACTTGTTGGTTCTTTTATTATCATAATTATTATTATTATCAATCACCATTATTACTGTATTTTATTTTATTTTCAATCATTATGTTTTCTTATCTCAACATGCAAGTTTTACTTTAAATCTCCTCCCCACTCCACCAGGTTGAGAGAGAGAGAGAGTGAATGGATACATGGGGTTTATTTTACACTTGGACTTAAAACCACAACGTGGTTAAATGAAATTACAGCAGAAGAAATCTTCTTTTTGCAGATTCTTATGATCTATGATTCTGTCTAGTGAATGTGACAATTTAGAGGTGTATCATCATTTGAATATTTTTTTAAATCTATAATAAAATCATAATATTAAAGACTAGGCATTCTTTGTATCTCTCACAACTTTTGCACTTTCTTTCCTGTTAAAAGCATATTTTTCCCTGTCCTGATTACTTAAGCAAAATGCAAAGTTTTCATTGCACTTTGGTCTTGGTTTTCTCCTAATGCTTTTCAAGTCTTTGCTTTGCCTTCACAGAATTTCCAAAGCAGCACCTATGTTTGCAAAAGCTGGATGTTTTGGGAGCTGTGCTGTAACTGTACTATTCTTTCCAGCAGTAGTGTTAGTATATTGCCCTAAGTCTCTCAAATGGAACAGATGCAATTCCACATTTTGTACTCTAATTTCACAGTCCAAGCTCAGTCACACCGTTCTGATAAATGCACAAAGTTTTCAACAGGCTTCCATTTTAACTCATATATAAAAAATATAGCATAAGAATAATCTAAGTTTTTTCTCTACTAATGGCAAAATGAAAACAGCTAATTTGTAGAAGATATTTTTTTCCAGAACATATATTTCATACATAGCCTCACTAAAAGGGATGTGATGATAAAAATACCAAGAGAATACTATGGGCCATAAAGAGCAATAAGATGAGGGAGTTGTTGTTTCTAATTTTTTTTTCCTTTTATTCTTTCCCAACAACTGTCTCATTACCTGCTTTCATTGTCTTGTAATTCTTTTTAAAACCTCTAAATCATGGGAAAGTATTTCCATATTCTTTCCCATGTCTGATAATTCGATGGCAACATTATCAGCACCTGGTGTCTTGTTGTTCCTGAGGTCCTGATTGCCTCTTGAATCACTTCAAAATTTAATCCTTCCACAAATAGCTCATGTGTCTGGGAGACATATTTTTATTCACTATTAAACATCTCCCTGTAGTGGACATATAAAAGCACTTTTCCTTGCCCTTCTGTAATTGAGTTTTTTATAATGAAAATGATTCCTTATTTGTTCTTTATCAGACATAGACATGGTTAATATCCTCTCTTCCACACATCAATACCCTTATAAAATGTATTTATTTTACTGATCTTTCTAACCTAATTATTTTTTTTTCCCAAGCCATGGAAGTATTGCCTTTCCACTTTCACTGCTGATCTCGAGTTTTCTTCTGGCTTTAGAGTGTTTCTCATCTGGAGTTCAATTCTGATTCTGAAGGCTCCAACATTTCTATATGTCAATCTCAGCTGTTTTTCTGCAATCTTTATCAAACCATTTTTTTTTCATTATTTTTGAATTTGTTCCTACTATCTGTTCTAATGTTTTCTTTGCCATCTCCTTGCAGAGTTCCCACCTGGTATCAGTTTTCTCATAAACATCCCAAAATTTTTGGAAGACTCCAAACAATTTTAACTTCTGACCAATATTCCTCTCCTTATTCTGGATTCTCCAAAGAGTTTTCTTCTGTGTCTCATCTGCTTTGTTTCATTTTGCTCAGTTCTTGGTTGGAGGCAACAATTTTCCTGTAGTACAGAGCTCACCTGCAGCCAGATCCCCGTCTCTTTCTCCTGTGACTTTAACATTCTCATCTGAACCCCACAAATCTTCCTTCCCTTCCTTAGGGTATCAATCATCCAGGAAAACACTGGCAATTTAAATAAACTTACATTTAATTTTTCAGAGAACCAATCTTGTATTTTATGATCAGTGAGCTTCATCAGAAGGACACAATGTTTCCTGGTGCCTTCCCTTAAAACACAGGTAGGAGTGCAGAGAGAACAGCAAACCCAGTTGTTGCTGACAGCAGTGTCCACCAATCATCCAGGTCCCATTTTATTCTCTGCAGTTGCTCCTTCACTGCATAAAAGTGCCAAACTTCAGCTTCAAGAGGTTTGTTTCCTAGTCCTGTTCATTATTTCACAGCTGAGATTATCACAACTAAGAGGTTCCTGAATTTTGTAAAGTCAAAATGCTGGATGTTCATATTCTCCTATATTATTTCCACAGCTCAGATTATTCAGCAGAAAAAAAAACAAAACAAAAAAAAAAAACAACCAAAAAAACCACAAACAAACAAACAAACAAACAAAAAAACCCAACCAACAAAAAAAAAAAAGTGGGTATATGAAGCTTTTGGTATTTTTTCCATTTCCATTTCCATTTTCTTGGTGAAGGGACCAACAATGTACACAACAGCCAGTTTGCAGGAACAATTTCCTTAGGCTAATCATTATTCTTCTGTATATCTGACTTGGATAACTTTGGGCACTGCTGCAGCAATCCAAAATATAGGGAAGAGGTACTGGCAAACAAAAGCCTAAGGGCTGTTTTAAACATTGGCTAGTACATGCTTTTGCACAATACTTTGTTCTATTTACTAACTGAAGAGTTAATTCACTCTGTAACTGAATGTATTAAAATTCTAAACATACTAAAGTCAGCAAAATGTAATTAGGAAAACAATATAGCTGAAAGAGGAAGGACAATCAAATTTAAAGCAAATAATGAAGAATAACTTCACATTTATTAATTTTTTGTAAACAAAATTTAACTTAAACTGCATCACTTTGAACCTTATTTAAAGTCAGACTGAGTGTGTGACTATATGCCTAAATCACATTGACTAAAATAATTGTGCCCTCTTACAAAGCTGATCTTGGTTCTTGAAGTTAATGGAAGTCTCCATAGTGAGTTTATTAAAAATTATGTTTAACACAACCAGGATGATGATCTGCCCACTTGCACCCAGTGGGGCTTTGGAAGAAGTCTCCCAAGGAAGGTGAGTTCCATGTGCCAGGGGAGAGGGGACCTCGGTACCTTAGAGCTCGTGGTGTTTGACCACTGTGGATCCATCCTGCTGATTCCCCCCAGCTCCCACCAGTGCACAGGAATCACAGTGCCTCACCTCCTCGTTTTGTGTCCTAACAGAAGGTTGCCTTGGGAAGAGATGCTGAATGGTGCCTTGGCAAGCCCTCCCAACCTCTCAAAATGTGTAAGTACTACAGTTAATAGCCAAGAAAACACAGACTTACACTTGAAATCTATGCAGCGAAAAAAGACCAAAATTCTCATTCTGGCCAAAGAAAACCACAGGATGAGGCACTCACGTGTCAGGGCATGAGGGCACCAAACACATAATCTCTTGAATTTCAGCATTCTGAACCAGATCCTGCAAACCACTGACGTTGTCTGAGCCTCCTCTGGGAGCTGTTGCCGCACTCTGTGGGATCTTTGCCATTCCCAAACCATCTTCAGCCAAGCCTTCGGCTGGGTGGGGAGCAGGGGAACCACACCGAGCTGGGCTGGGCTGGGGGACCAGGTGGGCTCAGGGCCCCATGGCCCCAGGAGCCACCTCTCTGTGCTGGCACCCTGAGCTGGCTCCTCCAACCCACAGCTTGTGTCCAGCATGAGGAAGAGCAGCACAGGGGAAAAAACCCTGCAAAACTTCCTAACACCTCCTCTTTGGCCATGGAAGCTCCTTTTTATTTTTCTAACTAGAGCCAGGTCATTATTCAGAAGGAAGATTGCTTAGAAGAGAGGTATGCCCTCTAAAAAACAGTTTGTGGACTAGTTGACCCTATTTCTTTTCAGAGGACTTTTCTCAGGGATTTAAGAATTAAATATAGCTGATGGGATATCCTGGGAATGCTGTTTGATTGGGGAACAGTTTGTGTGGTAAAATTATACAGTTATCTTTTTCTAGTGTGCTTTCAGGGTGATGATCCAAGTTTAGGACTGGAAACTTTGTATTTAGGAAATGAAAAATTACAAATTGTCTTTTTTTTTCCTCCTTATGAAATAATCTGAAACAGGGAAGCAGATTTTGGGAATTTGTGCTAATATAGCTATTTGAAGGGACTTTACCAAGGAGGCTGAGTGCTGAAGACTGCCTCTCCCAGAGCAGAAGATATCCTTCACTCCTCAGCATCAGAGAAAGCTCTACATAATGATCTGATTTTACACTACTTTGAGGAAGTCACAGGAAAATAAACACAGAAGCATCCCTGGCTTAATTTATTTCTAGTAAAGCTTATATTTTTCTGTGCTTCATTCTTACCCAGACATAGGCCTTAAAGAGTAAAAACTTTCCTTAAGGTAGCACTAACTAAAACTAAAGAGGAAAATATTTTTTAAAATATTTTTTAAACGTTTTTCTCTGGAGATGGTGATTCCTGAAAGCATTTCCTGCAAGACACAGGAAATATTCACTTTGCATTAGGTTCCACTATGTTACTTACTCATATAAAGTCATGGTTGGGAAAGTGCTCTTTCTAATGAAAATGAATAAATGCTATGCCAAGACCTATTTTTCTCTTTTCTATAGACACACAGAAAACTTTATTTCTAGTGGTGGAATACACAATTTTCAAGAATGTATTGAAAGATCAGAAGGAAGTAAGGCAAATATTTTCATGATGTCTCTAATTATCCTTCCAATTTTGTGTTTAGCTTTCCAGACCTGAGACTTTAGGATCCTAAAATAGAAACACATTAAACGAAATATGGTCTTTACCATTAATTAAAACACTGCACTATTAGAAAATTAGCATTTTCGTGGTTTTCTGTTGATTTAGGCAAAAATTAAGTATTATGGTAATATTTGTTTATTTCAGGCAATGGGCAGAAAAAGTGACCTATTCTTACAGCAACCTGGATAAAGTCCAGAATGTCTGATTTCCAGCTCACTGTAACAACACTCCAAAAGGCCAGCTAATTTGGATGAACACTGGCATCTTAATATTTATTTTCCATATAGCCTCAGCCGCAGGTCTTTCCATGTCAGAACTTCCTCAATGAACTGGAAACTTCTTGTTTTGGTTCACAGACATTAAACAATTCATATTGTTCCATTTCTAACAATGTCTTTCCTGGTAAGTCAAGCCCAAAGATAAGCCATATATTAAACTTCAGGCTAAAACACTGTGTGCCAGTGCAGCCAGCTCACCAGCAGGTTGTGGGTCCCTTTGTGCTTAGGTGATAACAAATCCAAGGATGGTCAGGCTATCTGCTGGCAGAGGCAAACCCCTCATTCAGCTTCTCAACTACTTTCACTCCAGTTGTTGTCTGTCCTTTCCATTTAGACTGTAACCTCTTAATTGCAGGGTCCTTCAGCCCCTCTTTGCCTATTGCCAGGAAGAGGGAATCCCAGTCCCAGGATGGGTCTCTAGGTGCTGCTGTAACACCAATAATAACACATGCTGCTGCAAATATTTTTCCAGATATTAAATCTGTATCAGGACTGCCTGATGTCTGTGGTTCCTCGGAAAGAGGTGGACAGAAATATCATCTTTTCTGTTGACTGTGGTTCTGACACTGCAGGACTGGTGTCCAACCCACGCCATATCCCACCAGTGTGAACAGCTTCCCTCCCCTGTACTGGGGCATGAGAAGGATCTGCCTGCCCCAGAACCTGCAGTCCACATTTCAGGACACGAATGCTTTGATCAAACAGAAGCATGGCATATATATGCCCCTTTTAGGCTGGTGTATGACGAATTTAGTCCAAAACATGACCACTGCTTGCACCTATTTCCATACCTATTAAACTGCCAGACTCCTTGCTATCAGAGGAGAAATAAAGGAAGTGTTATTTGCATTAGCTCGCAACACATTTGTGTCCTCAGCCGTGTCAGCAAGTTAGTTAGTTAGCACTAGTCTAGCACTAGTTAGCTCTAGTGCTTTCCACATTACAATTGTAAAATTGCTAACATAGCTCAGCTCTGCTGCAAGCCTCCCATGACTTTGGGGTTAAAGAAACTGCAAATTCATCTAGCTTCCCTATGACTTTTATTTATTTATTTACACATACTGTAGAACTAGAGAAACAAAAGTAACAAATAGCCAAGTACAGTGAGAGAAAGACAGAGTGTGACACTAGCTGGGCAGGGAAAACAAGATATTTGGTTGCCAGTTATGCATTTCCTTCTATCTACCTTTTACTGGAGTTAAACCATCTCACCTGTCTTTGTAGAAGTGCTTTGAGAACAATGGAATGAAATAGCACATACATCTGTGTATTATTAGTACTATAATTGTTGTTATTATTGCTATTGTTATCTACAGCAAAGAAACCGTGTTTTGTTTTCTCACCGTGTGCTGATCATGTCCTCTGATAATCTTATTATGAAACTGATAAAATGCAACTTTCTGACCCCACTCTGCTCTGATGACTGACCATTTGGTTCCTCCAAATAGCATTGTTCGAAATTATATCAAATGACAGTCAGGGTTTTATATTATCAATCTAAGGACACATTTGGAAACAAATAACCACAATATCTCAAAGTGATTATGGCTACTGCATCCACATAGTAACAGCCAGGCTGAATTCCACTCACATAATATGGATGTTCTTGCTCATATAATTAAAATTTAATCAGATTACAGAGTTTTTAGGTTCACATGGAAAATAAAATCACTGTCATGAAAGAAGTGGTCAGTGAAAATCAGTGTGGGTAACTAGAGGTACTTACTTTTTCATGTTTAGGGTAGACTTCTTCTGACAGCCTCCTAAGCAGACTGTAGAGGTGTTCAAATGCTCATGAGAGCAATGAATTTATACAAATACCTCTGAAGTCAAAACTCACAATTTGAATTTTTATAGCTGTGGATGGGGCACAAAAAATAAAGAACTAGAAGGCTTTAAAAACAAACAACTACAAAGCAACAAATGAGTGAATAAACAAATAAAAAAGGAGGTGGGGGAAGGCCACTCAGAACAAGTGCCAAGTTATTAATCAGGGAAGCAAGAATTTTGATTTTAAACTATTTTGTCCTGGTATAAAAAACTCATGGTCATACAGCCACCAGAAAACCATTTTTACAGTCTAATTTTCAATACAATTTTAGGCGTTAAAAACCAAAGTGGAAAACAGAAGACTTGAGGGAAAAATTGTGTTGGGTTCAATTTTGGAGAATTCTTAAGAGCAAGAAAATGGACCTATTGTTCAGTGTGCTTTCATACCTCACTTATGGAGAGGACTAGCTACTTTCTGAGGGGAAGTACAGGAACACTTATGTAAATAATTACCAAATCATCTGCCCACATATTTTTTACCAACTCCTCTACCCTCTCCTACATTCACCTGCTCAGAGAAACAGCATGATATTTACCACATTTCCAAAGTTTTTAAAGTTTTATACAACTAAAAATCTCATGGTTTCTAGAATTTCAAGTCCAGTTTGATTTGTATTTAGTTCTTGCTTCTGTTAGTACTTTGCAACTGTGAGTGCTAGTGGTTGAAAAAGCACTAAACCCATTTCCATATGTGTGGATCTTATATATTCTGCCTTGCTTGAGTGACTCCTCAGTCTGGTGTTGAGTGAGGCACGAGACCACCCTTCCTTTGCCCTCTCTGAGGCAGTGCCAGATGTGGAGGTGCTGAGTGCTGGCACCTCTGCAGCCCTGTCTGTGCAGCCCAGGCTCTGGCTGCCTTGGAGCCTGGTTTGCCCATTGGTGAGTGACAATGACCCTGGCCGTGCAGTGTCACCAGAAGCCCTGATGGGGCAAGTGCCAGCTGGTGCCCACTGTGGGCCCATGCTGCCTCTTCTGAAACACCTTTGGATTCGGGGATCTCCCATCCTCTCCCAAAAAGAGTAATTCCAGCATGGAGTTGGCAGTACCCATGTGCTCATTTGTGAATCTTGGCATACCAACACTCAACATCTCCTGACTTGGAAAGTACTTCTTTTCTCTGACCCCTTTCATGAAAGCATCCTATTTTCTGCTTAGAGGTTCATCAGTTCTTGCTGCCTCCTTGGCTTTCAATGAGGTTATAATCCTGTAAAGGGTGAAATTCTCAATGATTGCAAGGAAATCTACAAGGAACCTGCAAAGTGCTTTGACGAGAAGGTGGGAAATGAATGCAAATTAGTGTGTTAGCATGACAAACAGTGGTCCTAGTTTTAATAACAGTTTGCTTTTTATTCTCTGCAACTAAGATGACACTGCTGTTTCTCATTTTTAAATAATAAAAGAAAATATAATCAGAAAATTTGTTCTCTCCATGCATAGTTCTGATTATAAACAGCTACAGAAGAAAAGGCAAAATATCAGGCCTGTTCAACCCTATCTGTGAATCCAAAAGGCATGTTCATCTACAAGTGTTCATTTTTCTTACCTGTCACTCTGAGGTAGATATCAAGTGCTGGTATTTACTCAGCTCACTGACTGTGGAGAAGCTGCTCAAGAATTGGTAGAAGTCCCATTTTTTCACTGATACCAAAAGCTACAGTCAGTCCCAAAACTGACTGACTATTAATTACAGTGAACTGACTATTAATTACAGTGATCAGAGAAAGGACAAGCTCCAAAGATCTGTGCAGGACCTGCTGTGCTCATAAAGTTGGTTTTGCAATCACACTTACATTTGTGGAAGTTGATATTCTGGAAGGAGAGACTCATAAGAGGTGTCCTTAGGTCTATGCCATGCTCAGAACTTTACTTATTCATAAAGCACCTCAACTGCCTTTGAACTCTATTTGGTCTTTAAATCTATTCACAAAACAAGTGTGCATCATAATTAACAATTCAGCCTTGGCACAGGCACCCAAGTTGATCAGAATAAACAGCAAAACCATCTATATGGTGAGCCAGACAACTTCAGCCCCTCACCTGTTCATGGTAGGGGAGCCCATTTATTTGAATTTCTTTCCCAGTGATTTTACTCGCATGTTAAATCCTTAATCAATTAAGCTAAGTAATAATAGAAGTTTGTAATGTCATATGCCTAAAACAGCATCAGGAAGCTGAATTGATCATTCATGGATTTAATCCTTTGTTTTTCTTATTGATTTAATTTTAAATAAAAGTGAATTGTGAACTGTCAGTGTGTCAGAGGAAGGGAAGAGAAGCACACTCCCAGCTATGAAGTGTAGAGGAAGCACGAAGCAGACCAAGAGCTGACACCTTAGATCTGCAGAGGCTGCACTTCCATGTACTTAGAGAAGAATGCCTAAGTAGAAACCTGTCTGGAGGCTGACCTGTCCTGCTTGGGCCACATTGATGAAGACACTGACTTTCGAGTTATTTTAGCAAGCAACCTGAGGCTTTGAAATCCTCTTTCCCATTTAGCAACATGTTTCCTGGTCAATAGGAATCACCAAGCTCAGTTATACTCTCAGTTGTGTGTCCCAACAGGTTCTAGCTGATATATAAGCCCCAGCACCTCTCCTGCACCAGTGATTTTCATGAGTATGGGGGATGCTGCAGCTGAGGAGAGGCAGAGGAGCAGCTGGAGCAGCATCAGGCTCTGCAGCCTTGGAGGAGGTGCTGCAGCCATAGAGGGGCTTCACCTTGATGCCTGCAGTACTGAGAGCCTTTAGAGAAGCACTGAGTCTGAAATGGGATTTTCTTGTGTCCCAGGGAGGAAAAAGATTTTTCTATGAGAGTCAATGAGTGCAGAACCACTCTTAACTACACTCGTAACAGAAATGCTGTTTCATAACACCACTTTTCACAGCAAACACTACTTGCTTAGTCACTATCACACTCAGCCCTTGCTACATTATATACTTGGCACTTTTTATGATTTATCTACCTCTGCAGCTCCTGTACTGGTCCTCATTGATACAGTGATACAGCTTGAAGAGGGCAATAACAGCACACCAAACAATGGATATTAATCTCATATACTAAAATAAAAGCCTTTTTCTTAACAGGGTGTAGAAAAAGATACAGTGAGGCTCCATCCCTTCACCTAAAGGAACAGATAGTAAATTGAATATAAGGGAAAGAGGAGCTAGAAAGTGGGAAAGATGAAGGGACACATAAAACCAATTTTTGCCTTTTATGGATATAAACATTACAAAACCTGTATCTTTGTTAAGATTTCTCTGGGGCTTATGCTATAGAAAATGTTGTTTTAATGTTCAATCATGGGATTTTTTGTACACAGCATCTTGAAAGGGCCATGGCTGATAGAGAGCTGTAGTGATGGGATGGCCCAGTTGCCTTGCACAATGTAGGGCTCCATAGCTGGGTTTCC